GAGCAGGTTGCAAAGAACCTCCAATACGTTGTCCGAGACATTTACCTTATCCAGTAAAAATTCAACCTTTTCCAAACACACTGATTCCCATGAATTTGAGCTATTCATCATAGAACCCTCCCATTTAAAACTTTTAACATTTGGAGCAAAGGAAACTTAACGACTTGCTGCTAGTTAAAAGAATAATAGAGTTTCCACTGTAAAATACTTTAATACTACGCCTTACATATATGATTCTTTACGAACCTATATCATTATAGGATTCCAATTCCTATATGATTTTTAAATTTCATTCTTCAATTCTATAATTTAATTCATGCTTGATCAAAAGAGCCTCTAAGCGTAGTCCAATTTCCAATTGGCAAGCAAAGGCTATGTTGAAACTGATTTAAACAGTATGGTGATGTTGCCGAGTGTATGTAATAACTTGGATTAAACGCATAATATTATATAATCCAATATTAAACCCTAATAGATTTTAATCATATAACCAGTGGCTCTGATACCAATTGTTAGCCTTATTGGTTATACAATTAAAACACAAACGAAGGAGTGACTGACCTGATTCCAATGGTAGTTATCGAAGATGCAGTAGCCATGCAAGTAAGACGTGATCGATAAAACTCCAATCTTTATGTTTGCCGTGACAAACAGAAAACACCAACTCTTCTGTAAACTCCTAGCTTTATGACAATGCTCTATGGGAGGCCTTAGTTGTCGTGTCTAGGGTTAGCAGGGACCGGTGTTTATATACTAGCCAAAAAGTCTTAGATTCCGTCCATAAGGGAAAACTAAAACTCTCCTTTCTTGGCTCTCAAGTAAAATATCATAATCATATATTATTAAGGATTCCATCAATCATATTTCCAATATAAGACACCTTATATAGAATTAATATCTTTAAGATTAAATCACAATTAACATTATTCTCCAATATTACATTCCTATTACATGTAGTAGACCACTTAAGGTTGATTTATATTGGATAAATCCAACAATTAAAGCATTGGACGTACTGAGCCGTCTGGAACCAAACAGGACCACTGCCCGTGTCTTTAGCCAAATTGGCCTTCACCGGTGGGTTACCAATGTAGACCTCTGCCTAGTAAAAATCGGAAAACTCTTTTCACGGTCACCTAAGGACCACTCACGGTAGTCAACTTACTTCTCCTCTACCTAATTCAATAATTCATATAGATGAAAGAGAAATAGCATTAGCATGTGGTAGTAGTATTCCATAATCCGATTGCATTGGGTTATTAAGGGTTTTTTTTGCCCTCTCTAATATGTATGATTATAGGACATTCATTTTTTAAGATTACGTGCTTGGGTGGAACTGCACATATTTTGCATTAGCATCCATATATAGCGCATTAGCTAGGATGTTTGCATTAGCATGTGCAAATTCACCTAGTCAAAGACGAATTGGCATGCAGGCAGCTGTAATATATTGTTAAAATGAACAGTTATATACATGTATTAATAAATGATAAACGCACATTTTTTTTAGCTTCTTAAATACACGCTTGTATTTAATCATGTTCATTGATTTCGTTTGATTTATCCACCCGATGACTAAAAATAAAGACGTGTGAAATTCACCCCTCACTACTTAATGGTTAATTTGGGTAGGGTGCATCCCCATGGCCAAAATAAAGAATACATAGAGGATTGCATTGTGATGATAATTCCGTTCATACACACATGTAATAGCATTTGATCTTAGCTAGAGCATCGATGAACAAAATAATCATTAAAATTCACAAGATGAGACATATATAGGGTTCCATAGAGAAAGAGGAAAAACCGCGGATCGCAAACACCAAAATGCTACTTTTAATTAAAACTAAGCCAACAAATCATCAACCCTAGCACATCCTTGGAGTTTGCATTACAATTTAAGCCAACAAATCTCTTAGCACATCCTTGGGAGTTTAAGGCTTGTGCCGGCTGAGAGCCGGTCAGCGCAAGCAAGATGATGATGGTTAGCATTAGGTCAGGGAAAAGAGAGGAAGAAGACATCCTTGTTTTCTGTTGGTTTGGTTGTGAGCTAAGGATGAACATTCATGTGCCCCTTACGATCGAACATATACCAACAAACAATAACATGAAAACTCAACACTTTCATGGCAAAATTAAATAGAAAAATAGTTCATTGCACTCTTTGTCTTCCCACTTGTTCGGTATCCCATGCATACTTAAGTCTCCCATACTTTGTGTTATTAGCAAGCTCCTAAGAAAGTGACTTGAAACAAATAATTCAGTTTCGACTTCCTAAAAGGGGACAAACCATACCATTAAGCGGGTTGTTGGGTTATTATTATTAGTAGATGTAGTAGGAGGACAAAATAGGCGAACAACATAGATAAGAATGAATTGTTTGGCAAGTGGCCTTTACCAAGGTGGTGGAAATGTGTTGAGCCCTTGCATGAAGACGTGAGTTTAAACCTCGTCGGTGACTAATCTAGCAAAATTTATCGTTTGTCAAAAAAAAAAAAAAAAACCATTGTTTGAAACAGAAGCAATAATAGTGTGAATTTTATTACTATTGAGGAGAAATAAAAGGCTTGGCTGTTTAGGTACATAATGTATACTTATATGCTGATTTCGAGAGTGTAGATAACGAGAAAGGTGGCGAGTTTGCATGGGGAAGGGGCAGACAAGTGGACCATGAATTCTATGGAATAGTTACAGGCTCACGACTGCATACGTGACAACTATATTAACCCTGCCTCATCTTTTCAATCTCACAATCAAAAGAGAAAGTACAGTTAATATAGTTGTCACACATGCAATTGTAAACTTGTAACTATTCCATGGTGTTCATGTTCCACTTGTCTGTCGTTTCCCATGCAAACCACCTTCCTCGCTATCTTCACTTTCGAAATCAACTCATCCACTTCTTCCCCATTTTCTTTCCTTCCCTCAAACGTCATCTCTCTCAAACCTTCTTCAAAGAAAATAATACCAAAACTCTAAAAACCAATCCTTTATTTCATTGGGAAAAATAGAGGACCAATAATGTAATAACCATCATGCCAGAGATCAATCATATCTATAACAATTGTCGTGTGTGCACAAACGATCATCATAAAGGTTTCATAAATCGAGAATTTGTGATGAATCAAAGGATCTATATATTGAGTTGAACACAATTAATATATTAATTCAATTTTACGAGTGATTTTATGGTAATTAACACTTTCTTCTTTTTATGTCACTCTCTTTTACTTGCTCATTCTTATAGCTAATTATCACATAAGTATCAATTAATCATTTCTTTCCCTTTTCATGGTGTTCATGGCCCCAGAATTCAACCCTCCATTTCTGTACAATTTGTGCCTATGCTACATCCCATACTGGATCATTCTCCATTGTATATATTAATTATTTCATTTGTACAATCATCTGATCAATTATTTCTTTCTCTTTTGAAGGTATCATGTCCCCATAAATAATTACCCGTTAGCCACTCAAATCCTCTTTTTTTTTATCAACATGTAAGGTGAATTCTAAGGTTTCTTATTCAGGTTTTAAAGTGGAAGACGAGGGAGAATGAGCACAGCCCCACCAACAGTTCTTGTTTTCGACCTGAAAAGAATTTAAAATTAAACAACAATCTGTGTTCACCATCTATGAAGTGGACTGACTATCCTTAATCTCCGCTTCCCAGCACCCTTTCTTTTTGCCTTTTTTCAGTAGGAGAATTATGTTCCTACTTGTTGAAGTGTAATAATTGATTTAAAAAGAGCATGGCTTCTAACAATAGAATTAATTATGGGATTAAATTCGAATTCTACTACTATGAATTTAGATGCAGTCTATTGAAGGGTCGGTAATAAAAAATGTGTATATATTGTGCAAAGAATCATTCATGTCAAGGAATGTGTGCATAAGCTTTCAAACCCTCTTCTAGTATGTACAAGCAAACTCTTGTTAAGCTAGCAAAACCCTCTTATGACGATATATGATTTAAGCTTTACGCTTTATGGATGATCGATAACAATGAAAAGTGACGTAATCTGTGCATATATACACGAACGTGAATGTGCTAAAAAAATGAGTATTCGAATGTCAATTCAAATTAAAAATGGCATCTTGTTCTTCTCGTCCTTGTTTACATGTAATTAACCTTATCGTTCTTAGTATTATGAACCTAAAATTTTCTAACAAGCATATAAATACATTACATACCTAAACAGCCAAGCCTTTATTTCTCATCAATAGTAATAAAATTCCCACTATTATTGCTTCTGTTTCAAACAATTCATTCTTATCTATGTTGTTCGCCTATTTTGTCCACCTATACTACATCTAGTAATAATTTAATCATCAACAATCACATCATTTTGTTTCTAAATTTGGTCTTCCTAGCATCACCTAAATAAAACATTTTTGCAAATGAGGTAGTTCTTAGAACCAGATCCCCTCCGGACCCAATAAAACTAAGTCTGCTTAGTAAAGGATTCGGGCCATTGAAATTTGATCCAATGGCTACAAACAGGAGGACCATCTAAAAGTTATAGTAATTGTAGCCGTTTGATCAAATTTCAACGGCTCAGATCCCTTACTCAGTAGGCTCAGTATATTTGGGTCCGGAGGGGATCCGGTTCCGTAGTTCTCAATTATTCCATGAGAAGAATTGGTTAAACGGGGTTGTCTTATCCATTATTCCATGAGAAGAATTCGTTAACCAAATACAAGTAAATCAAAATAGCAGACAACCTTTATTCATAATTTTTTTATTTTGACAAAGGTTGAGACAAGTAAAGCAACACAATTTAGTTACTCAACAAGTATAAAAAAAGGTCGTACCCAGTGCACAAGGTTCCCGCTTTACGCAGGGTCTGGGAGAGGTGAATGTCGGCTAGCCTTACCCCTATTTATGGAGAGGCTGCTCCCAAGTCTCGAACCCGAGACCTACCGCTCATGGACGAAGGCACTTGCCATCACACCAAGTGCGACCTCTAGTTACTCAACAAGTATGAAATCAGTAAATATTAGTTCTCATGGCCTTTGTATTTAAAGGCTGTCAATTTCACTTGTTGCCACCATTGCACCCAGACACCAGCTAAGTAGTTTTCAGCGGGATTAGCCAATGATTCATTCTTAGCCGCAAGAACAAGCGCATAGAGACTGCCTGATAGAAATACGGATTCACCCGAAACCAGTTTCTCAAATACTAACTTTTTTGTGGCATTCTTGTTGTACTCCGAAACACTCCACTTTCCGAGCTCTATCACAGATGGGTCGCTAATGTTTACAGGGTTCCAAGCGCCAGGAACAGCGGTGACAAGAGGAACAAGTAGAGCAAAGAATGCGACAACGTAGTGAGGATGCATCGTGACCAATGAATTTTATGCAAGTGTATTGTCGTGCACATGAACTATATGTAATGTTAGGGAGTTGCAATATTGATCAACAATTCAATGAGTTTTTGTAACAGCTTTCCGTTAGGAAATTTGTTTGTAATTTACTGATTTGTAATTAGCATATGGCGGTTACCTTTGTAACTCTTGTGTAAATTTTGTATTACTGCACATTGGCCAACATGATTCATTTGATTTCGTCTACTTGAGACACATTACAAATATGATTCATTATGATTAAGAATTTATTTATTTTAGACTATGTTGGAGCTTAAACGTATCCTAAATAGTCCGTTTCTGGTCTAGCCTTTATACTTGGAAGATACGCTAGATCCTTCCTTTCATTACTTGTCTGATTTCACTCCATAGCCCTTGCTTTCCTCGTTTCTCTTGTCGCACTGCTACGCCAACAGAAAAACGTTTCCAAAGTAATTAAATGACTATAAATACCATATGTGATAAAGGTCCGAGAATGGGGTACTATTTCATCTCCTTAATACGGGTACAGTACGACCATACTAGTAAAAAAAACACTTTGCGCGACGCAGGTCCTTCGTCGCGCAAAGTCAAAAAAGTCGCGCAAAACTTTGCCCAACGAACCTTCGTCGCGCGCAAACCGTCGCGGCAAGGCAGTGACAGAAGGCTTTGCGCGACGAAAGGTTACATACGTCGCGCAAAGCCACTTTGCGCGACGTAGGTCACTCTTCGTCGCGCAAACCCTTTTTTTTTTGACAATTTTTTTTTTATAATTTCTACTAATATTGTAATTAAATTCTAAAAAATAATTAATAAACCAAGAAAAAGTATTTAATTATAAAATATATGAAAATGTACAAACAAGATGTTCGAACAAAAAAGAAAAAACTACAAGTCTTCTAGGTTTAATACATCATGTTACTGGGTATCGGCTGGGAAGTCGAAGGTGAAGCAAGATCAGGTGCTGGCATCGAGATTTGAAGGCCGGACATCGCTAAGGCCCGTACAATCGTACTCATCTTCTCGTCCTGGGCCCTAATGTGCTTGACTATGGAGGACGAGGAAGCGTGATCAAAAGACTCCGTCTCCATCAAACAATCCATTCGAGAGACATCACAATGATCAACCAGGGCAGTGCTTATGTTGTTGCGTAATGCTCAACCAGAATATGCCCTGCACCTAGAGCTGCCTCACGTACAGACTCATTTTCATCAGCAAGACCTGTAAGAGTATAAGATCCCATTAAGTTTAAATAGTGCACCAAAGTCCTATAGTGATACATGATACCATATTTTACAGACTACCATCCACAAACTGTACTTACCATCTAAAATAGCAGGCAGGCCCTGCTGTAAATAGTTATGGAATTGGACGCCCAATGACTTTGGTAAATACTACAACCAATTTCCAAACAAAGGCGACCATTAAACAGAGCAGGTAAAACAAATACTTGCAGTAGTGGTCAAAATGTTTAAAACATACTGTCTTCACCTTAAATAATGTTAAATATCCATCACGGACAGATGCTTTTTTATGAGAACAGTTTCGGATAATATCAGGAAGTGCAAGCTTAAAGTACTTTAGGATGTGTTAAAACCTGCAAGTGCAATAAAGCATAAGATAACAATATGCATATTTTAAAAGTGCTACATAAACTCGTGTCCATGACTCCATATAAAGACAAACCTCAATCAATTTTGGAACAATCTTAGGGAGACACTGAGACAGCTGTTGAGGAGCAAAATAGGCCATAGCCCCAAGCAATTGGACACTACTTTGCTTTGTTCGCCAAGCTTTATCTTCAAGACCCTATCAAAATAATGTATTTATACATCATTGTCAGAGACTAAAATGACAAACTTGATGATTAAGGAACTTCCAAACAAGTTTATAAATAAATGGGTAAGGTATAAGGTAATTACCTTCAAAAGAGATGGAAGAACCAGTTTAACTCCTTGAGCATTAAGTTGAGACATCATTGCACGAGCTGCACACTCGGCACCTTCACGAACTGCAACAACTTGATCAAGGAATGAAACCAACAGTAGTGGCAACATTTTAATTATATACCTGCATCAAAAAGATGATAGGAGGACAGTTAGAGTGAGAGTTCAGGTGAATATTAAGTCCATATAGAGAACTTCTTTGTACATAACCGATCACTTACGGCTCAAATAGTCTTCCAGGTGGTTCACAGAGACACTCAAATCCGAGTAAAGCACCTTCACGACATTTTGCTGAATTCCTGTAATGGAAAGGAAATACAAAAATGAATAGCTGCATCCCCAAAAAAAGAATAAAATAGCAACAATAAGATGCATAAGAAACAGAAGCATTGAGTGATCAAGTGATCTTGCAACAATAAATGATTCGAGTCGCAAGACCCTTCTATTCTAGAAGTTGCAACATAAGATTCATAACCAATGAGAAGAGGAAAGAAAACTCCACAACCTCATAATCAACAATTATTTGTCCCCACAGAATATACTAGCTTAAGTGTAGTCCAACAACACTATGATCAATCATTCAATGACTAATCAGTCCTGACCTGTATTTTCTGGAATTCTTGTGTTTAGAAACATAATAAATCTCACAAAATATAATTGCCAACAACATATACAGAAATTCCCATTGATGATGACAAATCCTTTTTTATATACTATATTGATCCAATAAATAGGGTCTCTGATGATGTATAATGTATAAGTAGAATGGTTATATAAAATGTATAAGCACAATGGTTATACAAAAGTATTCGATTATACAATAAAATTATCCTATCCTACTCTCAATCTCCCAAATATCACCAACTAATGATCAAGGCAGCTACAAAACAGAAAACAAAAAAGTGAGTTCTAATTGAATTCATTTACATATACCCTACACCATTAAGACTTAGTAATAAATTTATATTCCTGTATTCCATAAAGAAAAGAACCTCATCATATAGAACAATTATAGGTACATAATGATTTGATAAGATAACACTTAAACTGTGCAAGACCTTGCTATTACACCAGCATGGTAGCAAAGCGTAAATTATTTTAATCAGGTACATACCAATCGGTAGTGAATTTTCTGACTGCAGGTTGTTGCAATACCAGCCACAACAATCTTAGCATCAACCTCGTCCTGCAATAAAAACTGCTGCCATAAATCAAAATTGAAGAATTCAAACTTCGAATCGAAGAATTTCGCAATCCCAGAAGCCGAATTCAACCACAAAAAATAGAGATAAATTGAATAATATAAATAAAAATAACCTGGAGAAGGGGCTGAAAGGGAAGCTTTGATGAAGATTGAAGGCCATGACTTTACCCAGATTGACTTGAATCTGCTGTCGCGGGTTCTTCATTGCTGCGACCCTGTCCATGAACTTGCTGCAGTTGTTTTTCGTCTTCTCCTCCCTCCCTCCCTCCTCTCTGCAAGCCGCAGTCTTCCCTTCACCGAATCACACACTCTCTCTCTCCCTCGCCTTCTATCTCTCCTCCTCTCTGTAAGCCGCATGCCTTCCCCTCACCAAATCCCACACAGAGCCGTCGATCCCATAGAAAGGGTTAGGGAGGAGGCGAGGATTTGAGCTCAGGGAGGGGAGAGAGAGAGCGGCTGGGTTGAAAATTAGAGTAGTGGTGGTGGTTGGATTCGAGATTGTGAAGAGGAAAGACAGGTCTGGGTTCAAGATTTGGGGTTCAAGGTTGCAAAGAGGAGAGAGAGGTCTACGGAAAAGAGAGGGAGAGATGAGCGAGAGGGAAAGAAAGAGTTGGGGTCCAAACTTGGAAAATTGAAAAAAAAAACGCCTATTTTTCACTATTGTACCGCCAAAATTATGATACTTGGTGCGACGTAGGTATATAATTTGACGTCGCGCAAAGTGGTTTTGCGCGACGACCACATTAAGGCGTCGCGCAAGGTATTTTTCAAAAAAAAATTATTATAAAAATTATTGAAAATGTGACTTTACTCCTATCAAATTCAATTTTTTTTTTTACATAAATTCCACAATAATATATTTCTCTAACAAAAACCCACAATAATTTTTTTTACATATATATCATTCAATTTCTTAAGTGTTATAAGTAATAAATAAATAAATTAAAATCTACTTAGTAAATATATATACCATTGAACTTGATGGGAAACGAATTGTATGAAACTAGTTTCAAAGATCCAACCGTCAAACTTGTTTGTATAAGTTTAGAGATCGCATACGCCAAAAATCGTAAAAAACAAACATGCACAGATCAAGTAACGGGATAAAACTTTTCAACGGTTATAAACAAAAAACCACGATTTAACGGTAGTTTTAACTCCTATTTTGATGATTTTTTACAGCTACACTCCTTAACCCTATATGAATACAATGAACAAATTCGATTGTCAATTTAAAATATTTACACTAGTGGATATCACAAAATCTTATGTTATACTTAATGAAAGTATAAATAAACTCAAAGTATTAGTGAATCTATTGTTTTGATGGGATACGCATTGTACGAAACTAGTTCCAACGATCCAACCGTCAAACTTGTTTGTATATGCTTCGAGATCGCATACGCCAAAAATCACAAAAAAAAAACATTCAGAGATCAAGTAACGAGACAAAACTTTTCAACGGTTATAAACAAAAAACCACGATTTAACGGTAGTTTTAACTCCGATTTTGATGATTTTTTACAGCTACACTCCTTAACCCTATATGAATACAATGAACAAATTCGATTGTCAATTTAAAATATTTACACTAGTGGATATCACAAAATCTTATGTTATACTTAATGAAAGTATAAATAAACTCAAAGTATTAGTGAATCTATTGTTTTGATGGGATACGCGTTGTACGAAACTAGTTCCAACGATCCAACCGTCAAACTTGTTTGTATATGCTTCGAGATCGCATATGCCAAAAATCACAAAAAAAAAACATTCAGATATCAAATAACGGGACAAACCTTTTCGACGGCGATAAACGAAAAATCACGTTTTAACGGTTATTTTAACTCCGATTTTGATGATTTTTTTACAACTACACTCCTTAACCCTATATGAATACAATGAACTAATTCGATCGTCAATTTAAAATATTTACACTAGTGGATATCACAAAATTTTATGTTATACTTAATGAAAGAATAAATAAACTCAAAGTATTAGTGAATATATTGTTTTGATGGGATACGTATTGTACGAAACTAGTTTAAACGATCCAACCGTCAAACTTGTTTGTATATGCTTCGAGATCACATACGCCAAAAATCGCAAAAAACAAACATTCAAATATCAACTAACGGGACAAACCTTTTAGACGGAGATAAACAAAAAATCACGATTTAACGGTTATTTTAACTCCGATTTTGATGATTTTTTACAGCTACACTCCTTAACCCTATATGAATACCATGAACTAATTCGATCGTCAATTTAAAACATTTACACAAGTGGATACCACAAAAGAAAAATGCAATGCAAGAACACCAAAAGAAAAGCAAAAGGGCAAAAAAATAAAAATAAAAAACTTTGCGCGACGTAGGTACCCTTGCGTCACGCAAAACAGCTTTGCGCGACGCAAGGCCACCTACGTCGCGCAAAGTTGGGAAAAAGTTTGGTTTGGCGCCAAAATCTTGCGCAACGCAAGGCCGCCTGCGTCGCTCAAAGTGTCGTCGCGCAAAGAGTGTTTGCGCGACGTTTTCTGTTTAGCGTTGCGCAAACATGTTTTTGTACTAGTGATAGCGATCTCTTTCTTATTTGGGCTCATGCATATTTTTTGTTATTACCTCTCTTTCATCTTCACCTCTCTCTTGTTTTGATATTCCATTGCGGCTCGTCTTGAGTTAGAAAATGCTCCATTGAAACACCCTTTGGCGTAAAGAAAGCACAGTAACTTCTCCTCTACCAGACACTTCCCTCCCTAATTATACACCTAGAATACGTGAACTTTATATGTATTATTGAAAAAAAAATCTGAAAATAATGTGTAAACGTGTAATAATTGTACATCGGACTTTTAAAACATGCACTTCAACGAATCATTAAAACGTGTACACAAAATACAAGTATTTTAAAAAAAGGAACCTTAATGAAACACTCATAGTACTGTTCACTTTTAACGTTAAGGATATTTTTACCTTGAAAAGTCAATCTTGGTACTATTCACTCACACCTTTATTTTGTTTTTTTGATTAAAAACTAAAGTTTTTGAAGATTTTTCGTTAGTTTTCCCAAAAAAAAAAAAGAAAACCCTAAGTACGTATAATCCCGCAAATTTACTACGGGATTATAAAGGAAAGAGGTAACGGTTGGGAATGGTGGCATTTTGGGTTAGTAGTAACAGGAAGAGATCCGGTCCGGATCTCTCCCATCAAAGTCCAAGGATCAAGTGATTCAGACCTTTGAAATTTGATCCAATGACTACAATTATTATAACTTTTAGAGAGACCCCTTGTTTGTAGCCGTTTGATCAAATTTCAAGGGCCCGAATCACTTGATTCTTGGACTAAAGTTTTTGAAGATTTTTCGTTAGTTTTCCCAAAAAAAAAAAAACCCTAAGTACGTATAATCCCGCAAATTTACTACGGGATTATAAAGGAAAGAGGTAACGGTTGGGAATGGTGGCATTTTGGGTTAGTAGTAACAGGAAGAGATCCGGTCTCCCATCAAAGTCCAAGGATCAAGTGATTCAGACCTTTGAAATTTGATCCAATGACTACAATTATTATAACTTTTAGAGAGACCCCTTGTTTGTAGCCGTTTGATCAAATTTCAAGGGCCCGAATCACTTGATTCTTGGACTTTGATGGGAGAGATCCGGACCGGATCTCTTCCCAGTAATAACAACTCTAAACCCCTTTTCCATAGCTACATGGCAGCTGTTTTACTGTGCCCTTTTTATTATTACAAGCCTTAGTTCAAATTACCCTTTAAGAAATTGACAATAAAATAGAGGCTGGTACACTTTCAGTTGTATTATTGCTCATTCTTTTTGGATCTTTTGGCCGTTTAATGGGGGCAGTGGGGGACTTATTTTGTTGGTGATATTTTTAGAAACGCAATTGTCTATCTGACTAAAGCCATGGAGGAGGGCTGCTACCATTTCGTTGGTGAAATTTGAAAGATTGATTGACTGTTACTTTAATTGCTAGTTAGCTCCTAGCTGAACAATATGGTACCCAAGAAAATGTATAATTAGTACTCTAACGAAGATGATTCGTTTCTTTAATGGAGGACTATATATCAAATGATGCAATGATCTAGGGTTGCATGGGCGGTTGGACGTAGGATTTCTTGAATCATGTGTACGGCCGCACCGGACGTATGTATCATCCTTCCTTGAGCAGGACCACGGGCTAGGTAGGCGCAAAAGAGCACCCGAGTACATATCTTTACTTACATGTTTGTTGTGTAATGATCGACATTCGGAACATAGAATTTCTCCCCTTGGACATGAACCGAAAACAAAAAATTGGTGGGCATTATCAGTAAACTTGTCGCGGTAACAAAACAGAAGAGAAGAAATATTGAACGCACAGACTCATTAATAATATATTATACTTGTGGAGACACTAGAAGAAAAAAGTTCATCTATCACGGTGAATGCCCGTGATAAATTGCAATCCACCACGGACACTGTGCCCGTTAGTATTCTGGATGTGATAAAAAGTCTAATTTTCGACCACGGGCTATGCCCGTTGTCAACTGCAATATGACCACGGATTGTACCCGTGGTAGATTGAGATCTAACACCACGTGCTATGACCGTTGTCGATTACTCATTAACCAAGAAGTGGATTGAGTTCATATCAGCCTCATCATACCCTTATCTCAATCATTACTCTTATCTAAATCCTAAATTTGTAGCAAATGCATCGAAATAACATAGTGGTACATTGTGTTGGTACAATTATATAGACACGTTATCATTGACATCCCAAAGTTTTCGTGTATACATATGAAAAAATGAAAGGAGAAAAAAGTGCAGAGCAAATACCTATCAGGAGGAGTGATATCAGAGATTTCGATGGGAGCCCAAGACATCAACATACTTCCAACACAAAGCAAGCTTCCTTCATAGTCCACACCATTCTTTGTACCTTCACCAGCAAAAATGGAAGAATTGTAATAATTAGTGCTTAAAGTGAAATTAATAAAAAATTAATTAAGGAGCAGGTAGGTACCCCCAAACTGGGCTGGAAATCAACCAAAAATTCGGACAAAAATTGAAAATCCCAGATAGAAAAAAAAAAAAAAAAAAGCCGAAACACAACAGATTGTTTTCCCAAAATCCACCCAGACTTTGCTCGAAAGAAACAACAATCAGCAAAGGGAAACACAGAGACTCTAGTTCAAGTAAAATAAAACATTCAAACAACTCAAATCAAACATTCAAACAAAGTATACTGTCGAGGTAAGACTCACCAGGAAACCCTAGCTTTTTTGGGTAACATTTTCTTCAAAATAAATTGAAAATTTGAAGAAGGTGAGAATCGTGACGGAGAGCGAGAGAGAGAAACGAAAGGAAAAGAAAAACGGAAAAGAAGAGGAAGCAGGAGCTCCAACGATGATCAAAATTCGGTCCCGAATTGAAAAAAAATATGTGAGAGAGAAAGAGCGAGAGACAAACCTGATTCGCTTGCAGAGGCTAGGGTTCCGGGCTTGAGAGAGAGCTCGAGAAATCTGTGGAAGCAAATGAAAGAGCTCTGCCTTTCCACCTTTCTTCCTTTCCCAGATGACCAACACGCGTAAATTCAGCATCATTCCCTTACCAACACGCGTCTAGCATGGACAAAACCGGCATTTTTGCACCCCAAAAACCAAAGAGAAGAACAGCCGGAGGAAAAATCTAGGGGCAAAATGGTCCACCCACTGGTCATCCACAGTACCCTTCCCGTTTGAGTTTTAGTATATATGATATCCTCCAAAATATTAAAAAAAAAAAAAAAAAAAAAACATCCACCACGGGCCGATGGCGTGGTGAATTTTCAAAAGGCGGTGTGGTTGTTTGAAGTAACCACAACGAGCATATCGTGTGGTGGTTTTGATATTACATCACGAAATTAAAAATCGTTGTAGATTATTCACTTTTAACAACGGGCCAAAATCTGACCGTGGTGAATTAATATTATCTACCACGAGCTACATTTAACCGTGGTAATTAAATAGTTCTACCACGAGCTGTTGATGCCCGTGATGGAATTGATGTGGTAAATATGCTGTTATGTACTAGTGAGACTAAATCCACTGATTCATAATATTGAACTGATCGATTCATCCATTAATATCTTCTATCTAGCTACTTCTACTTGCGCGTTTTATTTTGATATTTGAATTCCTTCAACAATCCTCTGGAGCAAAAGATAGTTTCCTCGCACCAACATCGTAGAAGAACCTGCGGTTCATTTGTTGGTATGCTCCAAGGATGTTCCCTCCGACTTCTCTGCCTTCGTTGATCATCAAGCAGTACTCTCCAAGGTCATGGAATGCATGGAACGTCAAAGATTCGGTGAGCTGAAGATTTACCCCGCCATCAAAGTGAAAAGCCACGGACAGCCATCCTCGAACAGCCTTCTTGACCTCTCTGAGGTCATAGCAAAGGTCCATCTGGGACCTGCTCTTGTTGACCAAGGGATGCAGCTGCAGCTCCTCCTCAAAGTAGGCAATGATTGACTCTTTCACGATCTTATACACAGGGCTAATGAACATAGTGTACAGCGACCCCGAATCTATGGCAACTCCCATGCCGGCATAACTGAACAACGCCGGGTCTATTGGAAGAACTGATCCAGCCACACTAATTCCTGTCATGTTGACGTAGTAAAAATCATTGTCGGACCCGAGGATGGGGATTGTTTGCACGTTGGCATGATGACGGAGCTCCGCATCGATGCCGAAATGCAGGGCGGCCTCATCTCCGTTTCTCCTCGGCAAGTAGTACGAGAACTTCATTTGTGTGATTGCACTGAGCTGCAGTAGAAAGCTGGAGGGGTGGATCCTTCCTATTCCGAGAACCCCGGCCATGATATTGGGGTGGTGGTCGTGGTCTGCAAAGTCCAGAATTTTGTTGAATAGGCCAAGGCCAAACGCAACCTCGATGGTTTCTTGATGTTCCGCTACAGCAGTGTTGAACGTGAAGAGGTCGATGCCGTAGTAGCCGCGGGTGTACTGAGCACCGGCGTAACCTATGTCATACTCACAATAGGCTCCCTCAGGTTGGAGCTCGATTGGGACACAGAGAGGGTGTTTCGAAGGCATAGGGCGAAAGGTGGAGGATTTTTTTGGATCGAAACCAGGGTAGGTGATATTAAAGCATTGGACGCACTGAGTCGTCTGAACCCAAACAGGACCACTGCCCGTGTCTATAACCAAATTGGCCTTCACCGGTGGATTACCAAGGTGGACCTCCGCGTAGTAAAACCCGGAAAACTCTCTTTTCACGGTCAAGGTGAAGGGTTGGCATTGGAAAATAAGAAAGCTGAAAGTTAGAAGTATGAGAGTAGTGGATGTGGATGCCATGTTTCATGTTTGGTTGCTGCTTCTATAGCTACTGGTATATATACTAAAATTTTAAGGGATTTTGCTATAAAGCCCCCCAAATTTTATATCCAACCCAACTGAAGTTATTTTTTTTTTTAAAAGGCCCCAGTTTGAAGGTTCTAGGGACTTTTGCTTAATATTTTCCCCATGTATAAAGTTGCTGATCTTTTTATTTAATGATGATAGATATTTTGTCCATTTGTCCATTGATATTCTTCTAGCTAGTTAGCTATATATGCATACCATATGGTATTCTATGTATATGCATGTATCCCATCTGCAAACTTATATATGCATATCCCTTATTTGGATGGTGGTTTGTATGTGGTTCGCCATGCATCCTCACTAAGTATTGACTTTACTAGAAATATGAAATATCATCCATCTGTTTTGAATCTAGCTAGCTAATTAAAATGGCAAATGGCCATCAAAGTAATTTGGATTTGCACTCTTAATTATGTTGGTTAATTTCAACTTACTTGCAAATGGCTCTTTACTACAGTGGTGAAGATGAGTGTTGCTCTTGCGCCACGGTATGTGTTAACCCTGTCGATTCCTTAATCTAATATCTAGTCTAACAAATCTATCGTTTGACCCAAAAATTATCAACTTACTCCTCTACCTAATTCAATATTTCATATAGATGAAGGAGAAACAACACGGCATGTGGTAGTGGTATTCCACAATCCGACTGCATTGGGTTAATAAGGGTTTTTTTTCCTCTCTAATATGTATGATTATAGGCCATCCATTTTGTAAGATTACGTGCTTGGGTGGAACTGCATATATTTTGCATTAGCATGCATATATATCGCATTAGCTAGGATGTTTGCATAAGCATACATATACACATAAATACACAAGACCAAGTCATGTGGGTTAATTAAGTTGAAAAGAACCTCAGCCTATTGAAGTCTGCAAGTTCAAAGTTTGCTGGCTTTTGCCATTTTTACAACAGATGGATGATATTTCATATATCCAATAAAGGAATTACTTGGTGAAGAGGTAGCTAGAGTTTTCATCAAGTGCAAATGCACCTAGTCAAAGACGAATTGGCATGCAGGCAGCTGTAATATATTGTTAAAACGAACAGTTATATACATGTATTAATAAATGATAAACGCATACTCTTTTTAGCTTCTTACACGTTATATTTAATCATGTTCATTGATTCCGTTTGATTTATCCAACCTAATGACTACAAATAAAAACAAGTGTGAAATTCATCCCTCACTACTTAATGGGGTTAACTTGGTTAGGATCCATCCCCAAGGCCAAAATAAAGAATACATAGAGGATTGCATTGTGATGATAATTCCGTGCATACACACATGTAATAGCATTTGATCTTAGCTAGAGCATCAATGAATAAAATAGTCATTAAAATTCACAAGATGGGACATATATAGCGTTCCATAGAGAAAGAGGAAAAACCGCAGATCGCAAACACCAAAATGCTACTTTTAATTAAAACTGAAGCCAACAAATCATCAACCCTAGCACATCCTTGGAGTTTGCATTACAATTTAAGCCAATAAATCTCCTAGCACATCCTTGGGTTTAAGGCTTGTGCGGAGAGATTTTTCAATGTGACCGTCACATGAGGTAGTATACCACGTGTTTTTATATAAATGGTGGGTTAAGTGTGTTAAAAGGTTAATAACTTAAAAATTAAAATTTTCCACCACTTGCATAAAAACACGTGGTGTACCATCCGTGTTCCCGTCATAACAAAAAATTTCTCCCAGCTAAGAGCCGGTCAGCGAAAGCAAGAGGATGATGGTTAGCATCAGGTCAGGGAAAAGAGAGGAAGAAGACATCTTTGTTTTCTGTTGGTTTGGTTGTGAGCTAAGGATGAACATTCTTGTGCCCCTTACGAGAGAATATATACCAACAGACAATAACATGAAAACTCAACACTTTCATGGCAAAATTAAATAGAAAAATAGTTCATTGCACTCTTTGTCTTCCCACTTGTTCGGTATCCCATGTATGCTTGAGTCTCCCATACTTTGTGTTATTAGCAAGCTCCTAAGAAAGTGACTTGAAACAAATAATTCAGTTTCGACTTTCTAAAATGGGACAAACCATACCATTAAACGGGTTGTTGGGTTATTATTATTACTAGATGTAGTATAGGAGGACAAAATAGGTGAACAATATGGATAAGAATGAATTGTTTGAAACAGAAGCAATAATAGTGTGAATTTTATTACTATTGAGGAGAAATAAAAGGCTTGGCTGTTTTGGTGCGTAATGTACTTATTATATGCTTAATAGAAAATTTTAGGCTCTCATATTATGCTACTATATAATTATATCATACTAAGAAGGATATAGGGTTAATTACATGTAAACAAGGACGAGAAGAAGAAACAGGGTGCCATTTTTAATTTGAAATGACATTCGGATACTCATTTTTTTAACACATTCACGTTAATGTATATATGCACAAATTACGTCACTTTTCACTGTTATCGATCATCCATAGAGTTTAAGGCTTAAATCATATATCTTAATAAGAGGGTTTGCTAGCCTAACAAGAGTTGGCTTGTACACACTAGAAGAGGGTTTGAAAGCTTATGCACACATTCCTTGACATGAATGGTTCTTTGCGCAATATATACACATATATTTTTTATTACTGTACTGCACCTAAATTCATAACAATAGAATTCGAATTTAATCCCATAATTAATTCTATTTTCAGAAGCCATTCTCTTTTTAAACCAATTATTACACTTCAACAAGTAAGAACATCATTCTCCTGCGGAAAAAAAATGGCAAAAGAGAAAGGTAGCCGGGAAGAGGAGATTAAGGATAGTCACTCCACTCCGTAGATAGTGAACACAAATTCTTATTTAATTCTTTTTGGATCGAAAACAAGAACTGCTGGTGAGGCTGTGCCCATTCTCCTTCCTTTCCCACTTTAAAACCTGAATAAAAAATCTTAGAATTCACCCTACATGTCGATGAAAAAATGGGATTCGAGAGGCTTAGTGGGTAATTATTTCTGGGGCCATGAACACCTTGAAAAGGGAAAGAAATAATTAATCAGATGATTGTACAAAGAAAATGTTGGAACAAATATGTTTTTATTTAAATATTTAAATATATTTAAAACAGCCAATTTATTTTGGCCTTATCAATTAGATAAGGAGTTATCTCCTCTTAAGTATAAAACGTGGAATTCATTTTCTATATAGAGAAGATGATCATGTTATTAAGCATATTCAAACAGTTTTGTCCGTTTTGCCGTTTTGATTTGCTACGGTTTTGAAACCCAATTACTCCCTCAAACGTTTCTTTATTTATAATATATATATTAGTCTAGTACGTCTCTTGATAGATATATATATATATATATATATATATATATTATAGTGATGTATGTTAGGCGATGGAAAAGCAGAAAGTAGATGAAGAATTTTTTTTAATATATTGATTTAAAAAGCAACATATCGAAAAGGTGTAAGTTCGAAGGTTCTTCCACTGTGCAAGGAAGAACTTTATCAGAATAAAGGTTCTGGGCTGTTTTATCCTGGGGACGACGTGGTGTTTTTGAACTGCTTGCACACTTTGGGCAGAGCCGCGAAACGTCTTAAAGAGAGCGACCTAGTCCGCGACTCATCCCAAGAATCATTCACCACTCAAGGCTTTTACATTTTTTTCGGGTAACTTCGTTCCTTTCTACTTTCAGTTTTCAACAGAAAATAATTAATATATACGATGGAGAATGACCTAGTATGGGATGTAGGATGTAGCATAGGCACAGATCGAACAGGAATGGGGGTTGAATTTTGGGGCCATGAACACCATGAAAAGGGAAAGAAATAATTAATAGATACGCATGTGATAATTAGCTATAAGAAGGAGCAAGTAAAAGGGAGTCACATAAAAAGGAGAAATTGTTAATTAACATAAAATCACTCTTAAAATTGAATTAATATATTAATCGTGTTCAACTCAGTATATAGACCATCTGATTCATCACAAATCCTTGATTAATGAAACCTTTATGAAATGATCGTTTGTGCACACACGACAATTGTTATAGACATGATGGATCTTTGACAAGATGGTTCTTACATTATTGGTCCTCTATTTTTCCCAATGAAATTAAGCACTGGTTTTTGGAGTTTTGGTACTGATAGCTACTTATGGAAGAGTTTGAGAGAGATGAGTTTTGAGGAAAGGAAAGAAAATGGGGGAGAAGTGAATGAGCTGATTTCGAGAGTGAAGATAGCGAGGAAGCGTAATGGTGAGTTTGCATGGGGAAGGGGCAGACAAGTGGACCATGAACATCATGGAATAGTTACAGGCTTACGACTGCATGCGTGACAACTATATTAACTCTACCTCCTCTTTTGGTTGTGAGATTGAAAAGCTCTTACCCAATACATTTTCTTTTAAGTAACAAAATAAATGTGTGCCATACAGATCTATATTGTATCCACCCATATCCATTATTGTGGAATTTTATTATGTTCAATAAAAGTTTAGAGGGAGGGAGTTTATAGACCATCTAGCCCAACTGATTTATGATGGATATGGACCATCTATCATTCTATCCCCACAATTTGGATCCGGATGGGATCCAAATCTTTAATCGAGCTCAACTCAGTTTATAGATCATTTGATTCATCATAAATTCTCGATTAATGAAACCTTTACAAGATAATCTCTTATGCACACACAACAATTGTTATAGACACGATGGATCTCTCACAAGATGGTTCTAAAATTATTGGTCCTCTATTTTTCCCAGTGAAATTAAGCACTGGTTTTTGGAGTTTTGGTACTAATAGCTACTTATGATCGATGGTCTAAACCCATTCTCCTCTACTTTTCTAGAGATTCTCTTATATTATTAATTCGTTACGTGTCAATCAGACTAAATTTATTTAAATATGTGATAAATATTTATTTGATGATGTATGTTACTGAAATTAAATTTTGGTTGCATAAAAAAAAAAAAGATTTCTCATTTTCTCTCTCTCATGCGTAGCCATTAGCAAGCATCTAAGAAAGTGAATAAAAATGTCTAGAGGATTAAATTGTTTTTCTAACTAAAATTGTATTTCCAATTGAAGTGTTATTAGTGGAGAAGGATTTATAACTAGATTCTAATTAGAATTATTATTCCAAATTTCCAAGGCGATATTGCACTAGTTTCTTAAGAGGAGCAAACAATAAGTTGTATAACTTTTAAAAAGTTAGAGGAGTAGAATACTGTGAGGGTAGAGTGTGCGAGATAAAAGAAAAGAGATAATAGTATAATATTTCTTATTCTCACACGTTTTTTTCAGTCTTAATACTAGAGACTTGGCGATATTATTCGTTGTGCTCATTATTGTTATAGTGAAAGATTATTGCTCTTACTATGTGGATGTAGTCACATAGCCAAACCACTTAAATTTTTTGTGTTATTTATCTTGATTATTTATTTTTGATTTCTGAATTTGTTTTTATTTTCTCATTCTTAAACGCAATATTCACATCTTTCTCCTAAGATATCTTAATTTTGATATGCTCTACTTTTCTCCAATCAACATTGGATTTCACCTAATGCTGTTTAAATAAGATAAGCTAATAGCATAATAACTTGTTTTTATTAATATAGTAAGACTCTGTAGCAACTAAATTAATTTATTAAACATAAAGTTAACATCCAAAGTCTTTCATGATCTTAAACAAGATTATACAAATCCAATCCATAAGAGCTAGTGTTTGCCATTGCCATTAGAACTACTTGTCATGGACTCAAAATTGATCACTCTCCGGCCATTCAAGCTATCCGATGCCGATGATCTCATGTCATACGCCGGAGATGATCAAGTGACGCGATCCCTCCGATGGAAGACTTTGACAACCAAAGACGAAGCGTTGACTTTCATCAAGGATGTGTGCATCCCCCACCCATGGCGCCGGTCAATATGCATCGACGACCGTTCGATCGGATTCGTAACCGTCTTTCCAGGATCAAGTGATGACAGGCATAAGGCAGATTTAGGGTATGCCATAGCTGCAAAGTATTGGGGCCAAGGGATAACCACCAAAGCAGTTGAGGTTGCCATCTCTCAAGTTTTCAAGGACTCCCCTAGTTTGGTCAGGTTGCAAGCTTTCGCTGACGTGGAGAACAAGGCATCTCAGAGGGTTTTGGAGAAAGCTGGGTTCCAGAAGGAGGGTGTGTTGAGGAGATATGGATATCTCAAGGGAAATATAAAAGATTTGGTAATTTATAGTTTGCTATCAACAGATTAACCCTACACGGGATTTCTCCAAGTTGTATGCTTTACAAACCTTTTCAGTAACAAAAAATTTGCATGTAAGCTCGTGACTGGTTGTATCTTGGTTCTGATGTCTCTTTTTTATAGAACATTGGTGAGCCGAACCTTCTTCATGTAAAACTCGACCCTGAGTCGAATTGATCATGTCATGTGCAACATTTATCAATGATGGTTCGTTAATGTCCATTGATTTAGAAGAATCTTAACGAAACACTTCTGGTATTGTTCACTTTTTAATGTTCATGACATTTTTACCTTGAAAAGTCACTCCTGGTACTATTCACTTACACCTTTATTTTGTCATTTTCATTAAAACTAAAGTTTTTGAGGACTTTTCGTTAGTTTTCCTTTGATTTAGACTCTTCCTCCTTCCCAACTATGAATAAGATCGAGAGGAGCCGGAAAGCCCCCAACCAGTAAGTCAATCACGCGCTTTTACGCAGCTTCGGCAAATTCTTGAGCGTAACCGGATATCTCTCTCCACATGTATTGTATGACAAATTTTTTCAGGCATGACGAGAAAGATATAAATGAGTGAGTTTGATGGGAATAAAAAGGAGAGATTATAATACAAATTTTCGTATTAATTTAAATTTTTCGTAACCACAATTTTCTGCTTTTTCTTGGCGGAGGTATTAACACATAAATTACAACTCCAGCTTTCTTTGAAGACTAACTATTTCTATGAACACTCTACAAAAAAGGACCCCCTTCTGCAATGCAATACAATTATTGTACAATTCTTCTTCCTACATTCTCACTCTTTTCTTTTCTGTTTATCGTTCAAGATTTCGCAACTTCGAAAGTAAAGAACCGGAATGTCTTCTTGTTCACAAACGAGAGAACGAGGCTTCTTCAAGGTGTATAATTTACTGAGATTTCTTGCCGGAGAGGTGAGCTCGGGTGGTCCAGATTCGACGGAATGACAAGCCGCTGCAAGGGCTTGAGAGCTACCGTGAGCTCTGAGAACGAGGGGCGCAAGTTTGGTTCGCTACTCAAACAGAAAGAACCACCAATTAAACCAAATTCAACAGGTAATGACATTTCAAATATGCATATGTTTCAAAATTTCGTGCAACTTACGTCTGCCAACATTCCCAAATTATCCTTGCAACATGGGGATCAAGTTCCTTGGGGATCTCAAGGCGACGATTCTGGAAACCCACTGCACCGACGACTTGCATTGGGTTCATGCCACTCCAAGGCAATTTTAGAGTTGCAAGCTCCCACAAAATGACTCCAAAGCTAAATACGTCGCACCTGTATATTTAACAAAATATATACATTATTGTCCTTTTTGATAATCGAGATATAAATAACCCAAAGCTGTAAGAAAAGAACCAGAAATATAATAGCAAGAGTTACTAACTTTTCATTTGAGTTTTCGTTGCGGAGAACTTCAGGTGACATCCACTCAGGCTAGGACATTGATGGAAATTGGACAAAAGAGAAAAAAGTGTCATAGTTAGAGTCAAGATTTGCGGTCATATCAGCAATTATCGCAGATTCTCACCGTTCCAGCAGTTGATTTGGACGACAAGAAAGTGTTGTGTTTCAAGCGCGACAATCCAAAATCACCAACCTGCACAATTGAACTCCAGTCTCGTAAAATTATACCATAACCAACAACTAATCAAATGGAAATCAAATCGCATTATACACAAGAAACAAGAGAAACAACAACAACAACAACAACAACAACAAAGCCTTTTCCCACTAAGTGGGGTCGGCTATATGAATCCTAGAACGCCATTGCGCTCGGTTTTGTGTAATGTCCTCCGTTAGATCCAAGTACTCAAGTCTTTTCTTAGGGTCTCTTCCAAAGTTTTCCTAGGTCTTCCTCTACCCCTTCGGCCCTGAACCTCTGTCCCGTAGTCACATTTTCGAACCGGAGCGTCAGTAGGCCTTCTTTGCACATGTCCAAACCACCGGAACCGATTTTCTCTCATATTTCCTTCAATTTTGGCTACTCCTACTTTATCTCGGATATCCTCATTCCCGATCTTATCATTTCTCGTGTGCCCATACATCCCACGAAGCATCCTCATCTCCGCTACATCCATTTTGTGTACGTGTTGATGCTTCACCGCCCAACATTCTGTGCCATACAACATCGCTGGCCTTATTGCCGTCCTATAAAATTTTCCCTTGAGCTTCAGTGGCCTACGACGGTCACACAACACGCCGGATGCACTCTTACACTTCATCCATCCGGCTTGTATTCTATGGTTGAGATCTCCATCTAATTCTCCGTTCTCTTGCAAGATAGATCCTAAGTATCGAAAACGGTCACTTTTTGTGATCTTCGCTAGATTGCTCTGGTCATTAGTGTGGATAAGTATATAAATGGATAGAGATAGGAAAGCAAACACAAGATGTACGTGGTTCACCCAGATTGGCTACGTCCACGGAATAGAGGAGTTCTCATTAATTGTGAAGGGTTTACACAAGTACATAGGTTCAAGCTCTCCTTTAGTGAGTACAAGTGAATGATTTAGTACAAATGACATTAGGGAATATTGTGGGAGAATGATCTCGTAGCCACGAAACTTCTAAGTACCGGAGTGTGATATCGTCTTGACTTGCCTTATCTGTCTCATAGGTAGATGTGGCATCTTCTCTGGAAGTACTCCTCCTCCATCCAGGGGTGGTATCTGTAACTAGTGGAGATGCACAAGGTAATGTATCAATTTCACTTGAAGCTTACTTGTAGTTTCATGCTTGGTCAAGCGCGATACAAACCATGTAGTAGGAGTCCCCAAGTCGCCGAGCTAGGGGATCTGCTGAAAGAGGTGACAGACAAGGTAAGCAATCAGAGCTCCGGCTGATTGTTCACATTCTCCCTATCTTGCAGGCAGCATGAAGGATAAAGAGAAGAAAAATGAGAAGAGATGATATGGGATACTTTTGCTTTTGAAGAAGTAACTTTCCACAGGCTTATTCTTGAACTGGGCTGGAGGGTTTTCTGGTTTCCTCCAGAGTATAAGGCCGACTGAAGAATTTGAGGGTCAAAACAAGTCCATCAAATCTAGAGTACGTTCGACCCTGCTGATATGGGATACTTTTGCTTTTGACAGAGTAGTGGATGTATCGGCACGTGTGCTGTTACGCTTGTCTCCACATGCTTCCTTGTATCCTTCTCACTTGCCCTATCTGTTCCTCAGGCAGATGCGGTATCTTCCCTGGAAGCATAAGATGTTGAAGATGAGTACTCAAGAGCAATGCCAGGTAAGTAATCAGGTAAGGGGTTCCAGGCAGTCAGTTCCTGGCTGGAAGCTTGATTCTAAGTGCTGACTGATTGCTCTCTTTCTCCTTTGTCTTGCAGGTAAGAACAAGGCCAAAGGAAAAGACAGGGAAAAAGCATGATATGGGATACTCTTGCTTTTAACCCTGATGATATGAGATATTCTTGCTCTAGTATAGCTTGTTTACAGAGGTATTATCGGGGGGAAAGAAAGCTGAATATTTCGAAAGGCTTCGTTGGGAGTGCCCTCTCAGATAAGAGAAAGGGTTGAGCATTTTTGCAGATCTGCCTGTCCGTTAGGGATGGAGGTCGACATATATAGGAGTCTCCCTAACATCTAGTAATAATGCTATCCTTTACCCTGCTTGGTCATAGCACGGTAGTGGGAGCTGCCAGCTTCACATGTTTTAACTCTGTCAGAGCACTTTGAAAAAGTGGTCTGTGGTATCTGGAAAGCTGATGTTGCGTGTGAAGATTACAGACAAGCTTTATCCAAGGAGATCCAGCTCTTGAAGTTGGGAAAGTGGTGCCTCTTCGGTTTTCGAACAAGCAATCCTGTCGGGGATCTGGCTCTCGAGATTCGGAGAACAATGCCTCTTCGATTTTTTAGAAAGCAATCCTGCTGGGGGTCTGGCTCTCGAGATTCGGAGAGCGGTGTCTCTTCGATTTTTGAGAAAGTAATCATGTTGGGAGTCTGGCTCTCGAGATTCGGAGGGCGGTGCCTCTTCGATTTTGGAGCAAGCAATCTTGTTGGGAGTGTTTTCTCGAATGTGAGTAAAGGTTGGGCATGTTTGCTCGTCTACCGTGCCACGAAGTACAAAGGTTGACACACCGGGAGCTTCCAATTATCCAGCAGTGGTACTGTTCCTTTACCCTTGTGGGTAATAATATGGTAGCTAGACCTTCAAAATTTATGTGTCTAAACTTTGTTAGTGTTGTTTCTTTGCTATTCTTTTACCCTTCTCGGTCAGAGCGATGTAGTGGGAGCTGCAAGCTTCACGTGTCTCAACTTTGTCAGAGAACTTTGGCAAAGTTATCTGTGGTACCCATGAGCTACTGTTGCGTGTGGGAAATGGGTGATTGAACAGTACGATTCATGTGCTTTCTACTTCGCCAGAAATCTTCGACAGAATGCCCATAATTTCCGCAAAGCTGAGTGTGCGTGTGACAGGTGCTGACAAGGCTGGAAAAGTAGGTGCCTCTTCGATTTCTGAGATCGGCCCTCGTGATCTCTGAGCAGCCCAGCTTTTGAGAAAGCAAGCCTCTTCGATTTCTGAGATCGGCCTTCGTGGTCTTTGAGCAACCCAGCTTTTGAGAAAGCAAACGCCTCTTCGATTTCTGAGATCGACCCTCGTGGTCTCTGAGCAGCCCAGCTTTTGAGAAAGCAAACGCTTCTTCGATTTCTGAGCAGGCGCCTCTTCGATTTCTGAAGCTTCGTCGAGTGCAGATTTTTATAGGGGCTGACATTAAGTTCCAAAGCACACTTGAATATCCACCAGTAGAAGCTCCATTCTTGCACTTCTAAGATCTTGATTTGTCCGACCTCTTCTCTCTTCAACACCTTTGAAAATGTCTGGCCCCTCCGACCGTCGTTTTGACTTGAACCTTGTTGAAGAGGCAGCCCCGCCTTCTCCAGACAACATATGGCGCCCATCCTTCGTCTCCCCTACTGGTCCTCTTACCGTTGGGGATTCCGTGATGAAGAATGATATGACCGCTGCGGTAGTGGCCAGGAACCTTCTCACTCCCAAAGATAACAGACTACTTTCCAAACGGTCTGATGAGTTAGCTGTTAAGGATTCTCTGGCTCTCAGTGTTCAGTGTGCAGGTTCTGTGTCTAATATGGCCCAACGCCTATTTGCTCGAACCCGCCAAGTTGAATCATTGGCGGCTGAAGTGATGAGTCTCAAACATGAGATTAGAGGGCTCAAGCATGAGAATAAACAGTTGCACCGGCTCGCACATGACTATGCTACA